GCTCTGTGTGAAAGACAGATATTTGCTGCTTGGTCTGGAGAGTGTGGAAAGCTGGTTTAACCAAGGCCAAAGATCCAGAAGACCAAAAAGGAGTTGTSCATCCGAGGGATTTAACCATGAAATGTTCAGTTTGTGATGTTTATATGACATACACCCAGCCCCTCAGCCACTTAGGTACTTTAYAAAATTTATGCAGAGTAAAAGAATAAAATAAAAAACTTGTTGGACTGATTTGGCATGATGTMCTGAGACATCGCAGCTGATAGGAGTCATAAAACAGAACAGRGGAACGWTAGATGCCCTGACACCATAAATGTGTGCGTTCAATGAGTGAAGAAAAATATGAGTGAGCACCAAGCAGCAACCCTAGGTTCTCCCCTRAGAACCAGACCAAAAATTTTATGTGAAACCCTGGTAATAAGCCTTTAAGGGTGAAGCACTAATGTGTTAATCTATAGCTTATTAAGTATGAATCATCATATTTTCATGGTTAACTAACCATTTATTGATAGCTAAGGCTAAATAAGGTGTAGTTATTCTAAAGTGCTACCAATGTTTTAACCACCTCTGCCCACTTTTTCAAGAAAAAACATTTACAAACAGATTTTGTAACTGGTGTACTTGAGGCAGACTGTATGGGAATTTCGACAAGGAAAGTTCAATGTCGTTSTATTTGGCCTTGTAGTTTGGGTCACACCAGCACACTAGGGCTCTAATCTGGGCTGACATGTATTTTACTCCTTTTGATTAAATGTCTAACTGAAACTCTAGCATCTCAGTGTGATAAAAAAATGACACAGGTGTTTTGGTCATACCTTAAAAAATACCTTCATTTGAAATCTACCGGTAAGTATGTGTTGTGGATAGCTCTCAGCTACTACCACAATAAACTTTAGCTCAACATCTCCAAATTCTAATTAGCTTTAGAGGCACAACCTTGACCATTTCCTGAAAGTCTTGTTACAACCAGTCCAGTGGTTGACAACATATTTTGCTGACAGAGTCGACTGCAAATAGCAAYATTTTAAACACAAATCTGTGTTGTAGATCAGTCTCAGCTACAACCACACCAAATATTAGCTCAATGTCTGTAAAACTGACCAAGGTGCAGCTGCTTTTTGTTAGCTAGGGTTGATTAGCTGTGGTGRCCATCTTGAATTGGACTGATACCAAAAGTTAATCAAAGGTAAATATTCTATATTTAGTGCCCCTCAAATCAATCTTTTAAAACAAACCTGGCTTTATTTACAATGTTAAGTTTTTTTAATCTTAATAAAACATTAATAAATGTTGAAACCCCACATCACACACAAACTCACTGAATCCCAAATATCAAAGGGAACACACAAAACACTCCTACACCAAGCCTGGTGGGAAGGGCAGACCTGTTTTYGATTTTCCCGGTGTCGGCTGAAGGCCTCGGGTAGATCGTCCCAGTTGGTTAGTTTGATGTCCAGAGGGATGAAGCTCAAGTTCACTGCAGCTCCGTCCTAAGAGACGAAAAGACAAAGATGGAGAGGACAGCCTGAAGCAGAGTTCACAACCGAGGAGCAGGTGCTAAAATTAGTCAGGAACCATCTTGAAGGAAACAAAAAMCATGAAATCTGATGSTTTTTTTAAGGTCTGATTTCAGCTGTATTTGAAGTTGATCTGTAAGTTTGGTTAGGATCATGTTGGACTGTGTTCATTAAGTCTTTCAATCTTTTAACTTGTTGCAACTGACTGAAGGCAAGAAATATTAGCYATTTTTTAGTTCAAAATTTAGAGAAACCTGTTTGAGATTAAATTGCATTAACCCCTAAATAACCACTTAATTATGTAGAAATTGTGTTAAGCATAAAAATTTAAAAACACTGAAAAATTGCAGATTTTTGTTGATGTTCACCTATATAAAGTAAAACTTCAAATAGTCAAGAGTCTTACAATTTAGAGAAATTGCTATTAAATAAAAACTTCAAAGCAAATGTGACACAATCCATTTGGTGGCCACCTATTCACYGATAATGAGTGACTCATTTATCGTAAGATAAGCACACCTAAAACTCAACCATATCCCAGTAGTTTTACCAAAGAAAACATTAAGAATTACAACACTGCATATTTACACTGAAGTATTTTAATTGTGTTGGTTTTGTGCTCTGCTTTTGCTCCAATTATAGTCAAATAAAATTGGAAAGCAGAGAGAAATGAGTGTTTATGTATTTAAATTAGGTGGCTGCAGAATCTCTTTAATTACTTGCCCAATGTTAACTGGAGAATGACACTTTTAACTTCATGTGTGATTAAGAACTATTAGTGGAAACAGCTAATKAATGTATTTCTATTTTTTATGGCTGCCATTCCCTCTTGATGGGCAGGTAATTTATTTGAAAAGACCACGAATAAATACATTTATTAAATTCTTAAATACCACAGGTTTATTAAATGTGTATAAGGAAATAAATGAATAATTTGGACTAAAATATTCCAACTCGGATAAATAGGGAGAAAACCTGTTAAACACTGATGGGATCTTTTCAACAGTAAAGGGTTTTCCATCTTTATGGTTCTTTGGAGATTTCAGATGATGGATTTCACAGGTGTCACMGGTATAACCAAATTAACCAGTAATAAATGAGCATTTCTCTGAAAGCGTTACAGTGCAGATTATCGTTTCACTCGGCAGGTTCAAACAAATGTCAGATAAAATTAGTGTTACATAACATAACAAAAAACAGAAACCCCCCAGATAAGGGAGGAATGAATGATGGGTGATACATGATGGATGGATGAATAAATGATAAAAGAATGGATGAATGATTGATGGATGAATGGATGGACATACAGTTAGGTCTATATATACAGTATACATATTTGGACAGAGACGACATTTTCCTAATTTTGGTTCTGTGCATTACCACAATGAATTTTATACAAAACAATTCAGATGCAGGTGAAGTTCAGACTTTCACCTTTAATTCAGTGGGTTGAAC